CCTTTCCAGTTCTAGGAGATAGGATATCTCCGTTAATTTAAAATTTGTTTAATTTAAGGCAGGCTTGGGTCTGCGTGCGTGTTCTGGCGTGGGAACGTCTTTCTCTCTCATACTGCCTGTGGACACCCCATACCTTTTCTTAAACCCAGCTTCATTAACAATACCCCCTCTGCCCGCTCTGTGTTGCAGGTGATGGGAGCTTTGTTCCCTGGGGTGCGGTGGTTCTTTGCAGCATGGTGCTTCTCGCTGGTATGCTGGCGGTTTGGCAAAGGAAGGCTTGCAAGAGGCGGATCTTCACCCCCAATGGGAAGAGTGAGTTTCCTGAGCCCTCTAGCTGTTCATTAACCCGTAGCATGCTGGTAGTGTCACCTGTTCTTGCAAAGGTTTGGGTGGCCGCTGCATGTGTCGGGGAGAGCGACCAGCCCCTGGGAGCAGGCAGGGCAGCGTGAGGGCTCCAGGCAGATCCTGACCTCCGGGTTTTCAACGTTAGAATCCTATAAGCAGTTCATGGAGGAAGAAAGAGATGGTGCTGCCATGAAACACAGGCTGCGTGGGGAGTTTCTCAGAGGCTGTGGGAGAAATGGTAACAAAATGTCTCTCCTCAGCACAGAACGGTGTCGTCTGGGGTCTGTTTTGTGTGTTAGCTGGTATAGCCCCAAGCGGAGAGAGGGGAAGGGTAATCTTCGTTGGTAATGATCAGATCTCTTCCTCCATATGTCCCAGAGCTACTTTGGTGCTGAACATGGTGTCTCTTTATTTTCTCAGCTCTTGATCTGTATCCAGTCACTACATGTAGACTCAAATCTTCAAGTCAGGGTAGGTGACTGATAGAGGCTGGAGCCATCTTTCTGGTCTATCGCAGAAGGTTTTCTAGCTGAATTTCAATCCATTTTTGTGTTAATTAGGACAACTGTTACTGAGTCACGTTTTTACCTTATTAGACTTATATGACAGGTGCCAGGGGAAAACGCATTGCATTGCTCTCTCCAGCACTATTAAAACGGTGCAACAGATGGCGCTCTTCCACCTGAATCGATGCCCTTGTGTAGTAAGTGGGGCCCAGTGCTGCTAGAGGTGTGCCGTTTTTTAGATGGAACTTAAAATCACAGTGCCTGACCTGAAGGCCTTGTGGCTTGTGTTACAAAAGTAGAGAGGGCATTAACCACAGTACCCTAACCAAGCCCCAGCCTGAGTCATTACTGTCATGCTGTCTGGAGTGACTCAACAGGGCAGACACCCCAAATGGTGGTGTATTCTAGACAGGGGCTCCGGATCGGGGAGGGGCAGGTGGCCAGGGCCCTCCCACTTATTACCTGCGGTAAGGGCGAGTGACGGGGGGAGGGGCGAAGAGAAGTGAGCAGAGGGCGAGGCCTTGGGGGAAGGGGCGGCGCGGGGGGCGTGCCCATGGTTCGGGTGCCTGTGGGGCGCCCCCTCCCCACGCTTTTAGGGTACTTCCAACGCTCCTGGTTCTAGAAGTGGATTTCACCAAGCCAGTAAGAAATGCGAACTCCTTGATCACCATGCTAGCCTTACCACGGAGTCACAGACAGTCCCCTTAGACTCTGCAGTGTGTTTTGAAATCCAGACAAACTAGACTTTTGTGATAAATGATCACTTACCCCCCCAAAAAATCACACCACATTCAGGTTACTTCCAGTCCCAAGAGACCAGTCACTTACCCCCAGATCAGTTAGCACCTGACAACGCCAACGCCCGTAGCCAATCCTGTAATAAACTAGCTAAAGGTTTATTAACTAGGAAAAAGGAACCAGAGAGTTATTTACAGGTTAAAACACGAATGAGTTACCATCTAAATCGTAAGAGTGACAGAGTTGTAGTGATTGGTCCATTCCAAGTGTCTTTCAGGGCAGACCCAGGAGGCAGCCCTTGGGGATCTCTGGCTTCAATTTAGGCTACTTGCAGAGTGTTTGCGCTGTCAGTTTCACCGGTGATCGTGAACCGGTGAAAGAAAAGCGCTGGTTTGTGTTCTCACTTCCACAGGTGTCAGAGAGTGTTTACATTTGCAGCACTTCCATCGCCAATGAGAGCCACACACTGAGGGCAGCTATCCCACAGTGCAGCTCTCTCCGTTCTCATGATAGGTCTCGTGGGAAGGGGGGTGGGGTGATCGCGGGGCATCCTGGGGCCCTGCACAGCCTCCTCTCCCCAAACACTGATCAGTTCCAGCAGCTCAGCATTGCTCCAAGCAGGGGAACGTTTGCTCCATGGAGCAGCCAGCGTCACCTGGCCAGAGGATAAGTGAGCGCTTGCCAAAAAACCAGGCAGGGGAGTTTCAAAGTTCCTGGGGCTTGACAGGGGGAGGGGCAGACGTCTGTTTACCGGGTGTTGGAGCAGCAGAGCTGCTGGCCGGAGTGGCCACCTAGGCACTGTGGGATATCCTGCGGAGGCTAAAAGCTCTGTAAACAGGAAGAACGTGTCTTCACTTGTACATCACCGCAAAAGCATCACTGGTAAGAGCTGTACGTCTCTTGCGGAGGTGGTTTTCTTTTTGCGGTGAAACTCAGAAGTTTCACCGCAAAAAAGTCATTGGCAAGTGTAGACACTCCCACGGTCTTTGCGCAGAAAAGGGACTTTTTCCGCTTTCGATGGCAAATGTAGACATGCCCTTCGAGGCTCTGGCACTTCAGAGGGCAAACAGCCAAAAAGATGGAACTGTTTCCTGTGGTTTTGTTTATTTCCTTCATTCAGCTTCCAAGCCCACAGGAGGAGCATTTCCCAGATGGACAGGGCCATTAACCAGTCCTTTGTATTGCAATGATTCTTGATGGCCCATCTGACTTTGATAGTCCTTCTGGATGGGCAGAGGGAGTGGGGGATGGTTTCCATGGTTGAGTTCACAAGTTCAGGGCAAAGCACAACTTACCTATTTTCTTATAGCCTGGAGAACAGACATTACAAGTGAGATTAATGCAGGCAGCAATTTACAAGCATTTCATAAAAATCTCAACACTAAATACATTCTTATAAGACTAACACCTATTTTGAGCAAAACTAACATACAGTTGACCTGGTCTGGTCTCCAGCTATGAGGTTGTCAGCTCTTAGCCAATGCCGGCAGCCTGGGCAAGAACTGCCATGTGGCCTGCCAGCCTCACAATTACGTTTTACCCAGCTAACCTCCCCTTGCGATTTCAATCGAATAGTCTGTTCTATCTGGCTTTTCTTCCCTTCTCGGTGTCTTCATATCTAAATACATTCAGCAGGGCATTAATCAACGTGACTAACCTCTGCCGTGCATGGTTCATTCTTTATTGAATATGGGGGGGTTCTTTACAACTCAGCTGCATTCACTCCAAATGTGTCTGCATTTTAGTGGTGGGGAAGGAATGCAAAGGGTACTTCAGTTTGTAAAATAACTTAAAATACATCAGGGTGAAGGCTGCTGTACAAATACAAGATGAGACATTGAGCGTCTTCTTGGGATTGTTAAATTAATATAAACTTACCCATGATATGTTTTTTCCCCCTCTTCTCATTGTAGGTTCTGATCTGATGAAGAACTGTGCAGTAAGTATGAAATAGACGCTCCCAAATCACTGCTGTTTTCTCCAAAAGGAGTAAAAATAATTAGTGGTATTTTATAATGTCCTTTTAAACCATCAGTGACAACCTTTTCAGGCCAGGTCTACACTACAGACTTATAGCTGTGTAACTACGTCACTCAGGGGTGTGAAAAATCCTCACCCTTGAGCGATGTAGTTTACCAACCTAACTCCTGGTGTAGACAGTGCTATGTTGGCAAGAAAGCTTCTCCCATCAACATGGTTACTCCCTCTTGCAGAGGTGGATTAACTCCACCGACAGGAGACGTCTCCCATCAGCATCTTCACCAAAGCGTTTTAAGTGTAAACCTGCCCCTCAGTTTGCCCCTTTCCATTGTAACCTCTGATGTACATGCACGTGGGGGATGTAGCCGTACTTGTTATCTGGGGCCTGATCTTGGAATCTTTCCGCTGGCAAAATTCCCATCAATGTCATGCTGCTAATGGGAGTTCTGCTTCAGTGGGGCGTGCAGGCTGTGACCCCGTTGTCATTAGATTGGGGCAGGAACCAAAATCGCAGAGGCGAACATGCCTGATCTTTTGGGAGCAGTTTGGATCTGAACTTGGCAGTTTTGTCTCATCTCCACTTGTCACCCCCAATGAAGTCATTGGGATTGAGCCCCATCTGGTGCCCTTCTCTGCAGGTGTGGGCAAGAGTGCTTGTCCTAAAACGGGCGTTAGGAGGATATTGTTTGTGTGCCAGGACTGGTGTAACGACACAGATTGAAGCTGGTTAGCCAACATGACCCTCTGGAAATAATTACCCCCATCCACAGTGCAGGGATATTCCCAGTTAATACAAAACAATGCTAATGATAAAGTAAGAATTTCCCGGGCTAGAGGTGAACAAATCAAACATAAATAAACACAGTAACATTAGAGGACAGACCCTGAGCTGCAGTCAATTGTCAGGGCTCCATGGAAGTTCATGTCTTTCGTTTGTTTGTAATCTTTGACGCCTACACGGACGCCGTGCTAGTGAGGTAGGCTTTCAGCTGAACTCTGTATTTTTAAAAGCATTTCATTTCACCTGTAAAAAATGGTTTTTAAATCTCCAATTGTAAAGCAACCTGGTTTTACAAACTTCTACCATCATTTCAATATTTCATGCCAGCTGCCCAGGAAGCTTCCTTTCGTACTTTTTCATAGAAAATGAGTCAGACGGGTGCCAAGTGCTGGGAACTTCACACTTGAAACCCCTGGCTCGGTTTTTGCTGATCTAATCGTGTGCAAACGGCAGCAGAGCTAGGAACCATCAGCAGAATTTGGCTGTGTGACAGGAAAGCTATCGCTTTGGTTAATTGGATCTTAGTTTCCCCTTTAAATAAATAATCATTAACCCCTGAGGGGGAGCTCTTCTGAGACAGGATTGCAGTGACTCTGCCTCGAAGTTCTATAACGCCAATTCAAATCCTGTGCTTGCTTGACCTTCCACAAGAGGGCAAGAACTTGCAAGAAATCAGGGGAAATTTACATGCATCTGTTTTCCTTTAAATTCATTGCCCCTTGATCACCCAGCGCTACATAATTTCACAGTGGGCTATTTGCTTCGCTCAATGCTAAATACAGAGGGAGAACAGTCTTAACACCAATCCAGCTTGAAGTTGTGATGCTTGTGATGACAGAACAAGGAGTAATGGTTTCAAATTGCAGTGGGGGAGGTTTAGGTTGGATATTAGGAAAAACTTTTTCACTAGGAGGGTGGTGAAGCACTGGAATGGGTGACCTAAGGAGGTGGTGGAATCTCCATCCTTAGAGGTTTTTAAGGTCAGGCTTGACAAAGCCCAGGCTGGGATGATTTAGTAGGGAATTGGTCCTGCTTTGAGCAGGGGGTTGGACTAGATGATCTCTTGAGGTCCCTTCCAACCCTGATATTCTATGATTCTAAGTTCTGCCTGAATACTTCCATTAAAACTAAGTTCTTCTCCCTGGGATTTCTGTTCATTACACATACAACACTCCCCTAGAGCAGGGGTTCTCAAACTGTGGGTTGTGACCCCATTTTAATGGCTGGCATTAGACTTGCTAGGGCCCAGGGCTAAAGCCAAAGCCCGAGGGTTTCAGCCCTGGGTGCCAAGGCCCAGGTTACAAGCCCCTCCCCCCCCCTGCCAAGGGTGGTGGGGCTTGGGCAGGCTCAGGCTTTGGTCCCCCATCCTAGGGTCATGTAGTCATTTTTGTTGTCAGAAGGGGGTCACGGTGCAATGAAGTTTGAGAACTGCTGCCCTAGAGCTTTGCAAACTCTATACTCCACCGCTGAAGTGCAGCTACCGCTAGGATACAGGCTAGCAACTGCTGGTGCACAGCATGCAGTACTACAGGTGGGGAGAGGACAGTCTTGGCCGTGGGTGCTACTTCTATGAAAATGCCATCGGACGATGCAGCGCAGCAACCTCCAGATGCTTAGACAGCGGAGGTCTGGAGCGCTGAACGTCCATGACCGCAGTGTACGGTATCTAGTAACTCCCCAGGATCATTCCTGATCTGCTGCAGCCAGGTTAATCGCGGGCGACCACATGACCACCACCAGTCCGTGACAGGCAGTGACCTCATAGTCAATCTTCAGAGTTCAGTGTGCAGGGACTTTGTCTCTGAGTCCGGCAACATGACCAAAAAGGGCAAGCCGGTGGAGGCCAATGATAACTTCAGTCCTCTGGAGGCCAGTTCTCAGTGATATATCCCCATTGCTGATTGTGTCATGCAGAGCAGGCAGGATCTATTTAAGGTCTCATGTCACAAAGTTCATTGTATCCAATTTCTGTAGGACAGATGGTCTGTGTTTATGGGACAGGCCTGGGAACTTCGGTTCTATCACTGGCTCTGCCAAAGAGATCACTTTTTCAGTTTGTGACCTTGGACAAGTCATTTGACTGCTCTCTGCCTCAGTTTACCCCTCGATCCGATGGGGAGTGCTATGAGACTTAAGTCATTGCTGTATTTCAAGTGCTTTAAGACGGAGTAAAATTTTCAAAAGCAGCTAGGTTCCCAACATACAAAGATATTTAGGGTCTAAAGTTGCAGATAGGAGCCGAACCTGCTTCGGCACTTTATAAATCCCGGTAGACACCTATCAGCATCTTTAGTCACCTACGTATCTTTGTAAATCTGGCTCTAAGGGACTTAGGAGCCTAATTCAAAGGAACCTAAGCTCTGAAGTCATTTAAGCCCTCTTGAAAATTTGCCTCAACTGATGGAAGGTATTCTGTAAATACGACTATTATTCTCGCGGATTCAGAGGGATGCGGTTGCTTCCAAAACTACTGCAGTCCCTCCCTGTTTTGCTTCTTGTTATGTGAGCCGTAGGTTCACTGCCCTGTTCATCTCCTCTTTATGTCGACAGAAGAGGTTCAGTATGCTGAAAGCTGACAAAGAGTCAGAAGAGAGGGAGTTGTTAAACAGAATCCCTGTTGTGGAAACCAACAACAACTTGGTCTCCAGCTCAGAAAAAAATCCCAGTCCTGACTCAAGCCTGGCTGAGACGATCCAGAGCACCGGGAATGCCACAGACTACCCTGCTGATTCCCGAGTGAGGGACCACACTAATAACCGAATCGGTGAGTCTCGTACGCCTTTGCAGAATAGTGTGTATGTGTCGGGGAGGAATTCAGCCCCTTTGTATAATTAACTAGCAGCTTTTTAAAGTTTTCATTTACTGTCAGTTGCATGACTTTGGTGCCAAACATTTCCTCGAACAGTCAACCAAGCAGCACAGAATCCTGACCCGGAGTGACTGCTGCCAAAGAAAACTGCTTAAAAGGAAATCAAGAACTGCTGAGATGGAGCAAAGGGGAAAATAAGCAAAGGCCATTTCCTGTGCAGCTGGGGGCATGCCCAGGGTGGGATTAAGCAATACAGTGGGTGAAGAGTTAATGACTGAATATATTTAAAAAAAAATATTTATCGCGACTCTTCTCCAGACTGGCAAACTGTTTTTAAATCATGGTCATATTTTTCCCAGTGAGATTTCACAGGCAGTTTCTGCAATGAGGCTGGAGGGGAAGATGCATTTGAGGGCCTCCTCTCCTCTGCAGAAAATCTTGAGTGATGGTGCAGCTCCTCTGCTGGTATAAATTTGCAGAACTCCACTGGACCTAGGCAGATTTACACCAGCTGAGATCTGGCCCTACGTGTATATCTGAAGGAGGGACAAATCTCCATTGGAACTTGTTCTCAATTACAGGGAGACGGACGAGTGCGCAGATTTGAGTTGGATGTTACGAAATGATTTGGTTTGAGAGCTTCCCTTTATTTGTTTAAGCAGATGTGTAATGAGGAAGGGTCTTTATTAGTGACCGGGGTCATTTCAAAGCCTGGTTGTCAGATAATATGCAAAGTGAGGAAATGTGGGGTATTGCAGTGGCTCTCAACCTTTCCCGACTACTGTACCCCTTTCAGGAGGCTGATTGTCTTGCATACCCCCAAGTTTCACCTCACTTAAAAACCACTTGCTTACAGAATCGGACATAAAAATGTCACAGCACATTCTTACTGAAAATTTGCTGACTTTCTCATTTTTACCATATAATTATAAAATAAATCAATTGGAATATATATATTGTACTTATACTTCATTGTATAATATATAGAGCAGTATAAACAAGACATTGTCTGTATGAAATTTTAGTTTGTACTGGCTTCACTGGTGCTTTTTATGTAGCCTGTTGTAAAACTAGGTGAATATCTAGAGGAGTTGATGTACCGCTGCCCTGGCAGACCTCTGCAGACCCCTGGTTGAGAACCACTGCTGTATTGTATGCAATCCATGCTCTCTTCATGCCCGGTGCAAATGCTGAGAAACACTTTTAAGTGATGTTGATTAGAGGGCACTGTGTGGTCACGGCAGTATGGTTTTTGGAACAAAGCTCCTATACTGTACTCCACCAGGAAAGGTTATCATTAAAGTGCAGGCCTGTTGTGTGCCAGTTTTCAAACTGATAGTATGTTTGGACGTCATGGCATCCTGTCAGAGTTCTGCAAACAGCTCTGAATTAACAGTCCACAGAGAACTTGGCTGCCAGGCCTAGTTTACGTAACTCACTTATTCCAGTAGCATCTTGGTGCCAGGTCATGGTACGGTATTCCATGGAAGTCCGCTCCCAATCTAAGCTACCCTGTCCTTGTTAGTGCTGACCTTTTGGAACTAAGTGCCTTTCATAGGTCCTGCAAATGCACCAGAACTTTCCCACCCTGTGAGTGATGCACTTGTAACTTCTGCAGAAAAGGACCTTTGCATCAGTAAGATGTGCCGGAACGCTTGCCTGTTGTTCCCGAGTTACAAACATACTGACTTGAGGGACAGCAGCGTTGTGAAGTTTCATCATAGAGCCAGGATGAGAAGCTGGATATGAGTCAGCAGTGTGCCCTTGTTGCCAAGAAGGCTAATGGCAGATGGACGGGTTGAAATGCAGCTTCCCTTTCCCATACTCAACTTGTCTACTCATTCACAGAAAAGAGCTGCACGAAGATGGGCTTTTCTGTGTTTTGGACTGGGTGCATATTGGATAATTATGAAGTGTTGTACTCCCCTCTATTTGGCACTGGTGAGGCCACATCTGGAGTATTGCGTCCAGTTTTGGGCCTCCCACTACAGAAAGGATGTGGACAAATTGGAGAGAGTCCAGCAGAGGGCAATGAAAATGATCCGGGGGCTGGGGCACATGACTTATGAGAAGAGGCTGAGGAAACTGGGCTAGTTTAGTCTGCAGAAGAGAAGAGTGAGCGGGGATTTGATAGCAGCCTTCAACTACGTGAAGGGGGGTTCCAAAGAGGATGGAGCTCGGCTGTTCTCAATGGTGGCAGATGACAGAACAAGGAGCAATGGTCTCAAGTTGCAGTGGGGGAGATCTAGTCTGGATATTAGGAAACACTATTTCACTAGGAGGGTGGTGAAGCACTGGAATGGGTTACCTAGGGAGGTGGTGGAATCTCCATCCTTAGAGGTTTTTAAGGCCCGGCTTGACAAAGCCCTGGCTGGGATGATTTAGTTGGGGTTGGTCCTGCTTTGGGCAGAGGGTTGGACTAGATGACCTCCTGAGGTGGTCTCTTCCAACCCTAATCTTCTATGATTCTATGATAACAATGTAAAGTCTGTAAGGCCTGTCATCTCCAGGTACACCTCCCTGCCCTCACACGCCCCCCCCCCACCCCCGCACCACTGAACTGCAGTGACCTCTGGGGTGGAGTGTGCCATTCAAGTCCTAATGAAGGCCTTGAATTCCCTTTCCCATCAGGACCAGGTTTAACATGTTGGACACTACGTTCATGTCCTACAAATCTGTCCTAAAATACCCTTTCCAGCGTAGTTGATCCTGCATTGCCTGACCCCTGATACCAAGTCTCCTGTGCAAGACCTAAAAACAGAGTTCAATTATCTCTCTTGTTACAGCTATCTGAGTTTCCTGTCAATTGAAAACTTTGCTTAAAGGCAGCCTTTTCATGCCGCTATTGGCGTCGCTGTAGATTAAAGCAAAAAACCACCTAGAGCATATGCCCTGGGGTTGTAGAAGACTCTTGCATCCTGTTTGCTGGCGTTATTAATTTCTCTGGCCCTTGCAAAAGCATTGTTAAGCAGCAAACACGTCTTTCGGTTAGAGAAGAACTTGAAACATAGTTTATGTTGCTGGTGGAGGGGAAGGTGGTTCAGTAATCACAGATGAGATTTGCAGGGGACGCGAACAAATATTGACCCAAAACTTTCTGCATGATCCAAAAAATTTGGAAATGTTATAGTATGAAATATCCAGCTCTCTTGCACATGGCCTTTCCACAGCCCTCTCTTTCATTCTCTGTGTTCAGTACTTAGATTCCAAATGAAAGGTGCCTTATGAATATCCAAGACTTACTGTTCATAACTAGTGGGGCACATACCAAAGGCCAATATGGCTTAACCATTAATTATAGAGGGGAATTATGGTCTAGATGGGCCAGATCTGCACACCTCTGAACTTTGGGAAACTTCAGATAGGCATCCAAGCATTGCAACAGAGGGAACCGTCTCTGGCTAGCACCAGAAATGATCATTAGTAATGCTCAGGACTGATTGCTATCTGCTTCCTTCCGCAGACAAAATATACATAATGAAAGCCGACACTGTGATTGTGGGATCCATTTCGGAAGTGCCCGTCAGCAAGAACTGCGCGGTTAGAGGATGTGAAAATGATGCTAAGGCTCAAGAAAACATGGAGGAAAACGAACTTGCAATGCATTATCCGCAGCAGGAGACAGAATCGTTTCCAGGAAGTGATGTAATGATTCCGGTGGAGGAGGAGGGCAAGGAATTTCATCACCCTACCACTGCCACTGAGAAGTGATGTCTTGCAGAGAAGCTCTTGAAGACTAAAGCTACACAGATGCCAATTGTGCTAGTGATATCCAGTGCATTGGGGAGCCATGAATGCCTTATTGTCTCAGATGCTGGAAGGATGGTTGGGGGTCATGGGAGCACTTTGGTACAAGGTGTCATAGAATTGATTTCATCCAGGAAACAAGAGAATCGTCAATAGTAACAAGAAGGATTTACACTTATGGATCACATCAAATATTTCTCTCCACTTCTCCTCCGCACGTCCAGTTACAGATGGGACTGAATCCAAACCCCACGTTTGAACACTCCAAAACTCTGAGGACTTTTGGATTCTGATCCAACTCTACAGTTGCCCCATCTTCATAACTGAATGATATAAATCCATTGTGAAAATTCAAGTCAGGATCCAAAGACTGAAGATTGGGGCCTATCTCTGAATCCTCTATCTGTAGTTGTGTTGTTCCTATCATTGTTGCCAATTCTTGGGATTTTATTGCTATTCTCACAACCTTTTTTTTTCTGAAAGTCCCAGCTCCTGGAGTCATGTGATCACATGAGAATCTCAGCCCTGACGGTAGTGGATAAAAGCTTGGAAACATGACCTAAGTGTGCCCTCGAGGCACAGATACTAGAGTGTAAATAAAACAAACCCAACATTTATTCATGATTTTTTTTTTAAGCCAATCTCATGAATAGTTTGAAGCTGGACTCAAGGTGGACTTCCGTGATTAACTTTTTGATTTTGATAAAGAAAACTGACAATGAAAAGTACAAAAAGGTAAATGACTTACAGCTTGTATATATTTCCCAATACTGCATGCTTCACGGGCTCTCCAATGCAATTATGCTGTTTCAGAACCTGTCAAAGCTGCAAGACCGGACAATACAAAACCAGACACTACTAGATAGACATAACATGATAGAAATAAAATAGGAGAAGACATACATGAATAGGGAGAAGAGGGAAGAGAGAAGAGTCCAAGAGGGAGGGGAAAAGAGAATGGAGTCTGGCATTCTTTGAGCCCTCTGTACATGTGTTTTATCCAAATGTATCTAAAAAAGGGGTCCACGTTTCTTTCAATTCAGACTCCAGGGTTTTGATGTTTGGGATTGGCAGTGCTACTACATCATGGCCTTCTCCAGTACAAGCCAAAGGGTTTGGAATATTTAGATGTTGTACTGCAAGTGAACTTTGCCTCCGAGTCTGAATTAAGCAGGCCTGGCGAATATGGATATGATTGTACAAGGAAAACAAAAGGTTTTCCAAAACAAACAAAGATTTTTTTTTTTTTAAATGCCACATTGCTGGTTTCCTAAAACCATGTCAGTTTCTGCTGCGTTTGGAAGAAGTGCAGGTGGTGGTCTGGGAAGCGCTTATTTACATATTATTTTTTAAAAAAACCTCTCAAGTTTTGTGATCAAATGACGCAAGATGCTAAACTCTCATGCTGCTAAGTCTATAATTGTAAATGTAATGCATCAGTGCTGACCGCGCTTTCACGTGATTATGGAAAATGAGTTACATGACAAAGTGTTTCTTGATAGGTTTAACAACAACAACAACAACAAAAAAAAAAAAAGAGGACCCACAGAATTACTACCGACTCAGTAGTTTTTATATTG